TCTTAGAGTAAAATATAATCTGAGTCATTGGTATAAATCGAATTATCTACATTGTCAATATATTGCGAAATAATTATACAATATTTTTTAGAGCTCTGCGTACTTGCGGTGCATCTGGCATAGCACCAGCCCTTCTTCAAATTTGAGAAAATAAATTTTCTAAGGCATCCTATGTGACACGACTTGTTAGGAAAAAAATCATAATTTTGCTGGAAAACATATTCCGTTAAATTTATAATTGAAATTCAAGTCAATATTAAATCTGTATTGAGAGATTTCCAACCACCTTTTCCAATTTGCATGTTTTGAACTATATCAATGAAATCGTTTAAAAATTTTATTTTTTTAATTTTATTTTTTTTTGTTATAGATGTTTTCCTAACACGTGATGTGCATATTTCAATCCATTCATGAATTAGTTTTATGAACCAAGCAGTAGTTGACGCTTCAGGTGGTAAATATTTTAATCGTATTGCTGCTTCTGAGCCTCCACCTGTCCTAATACTAAAAAGTCTGATAAAAATAGCAGATCCTACATTCATTTTGGAAAATACAAAAATGATGACAATAACTCTTGAGAATGTCATAAATAAAAAACAAATAGATGGCTAATGAGAGTTTTTACTCGCGATAATTCATACGATAAAGAAATTTATTTCATTTTACGATAAGTCAGACGTTTCGGCTTTCCTTCGAGCCATCTTCAATGTATCTGAACCATACAATATAGAGCAACTTCTATGCTAAATGAGAAAGTGACCACTCATTCCATCTCCACTAATTCGTGACACAAGGTTGGCAAGTCTAGTGGCAACGATCGAAGATATATTCTATGTATAAAGAATAAAACGTTACCTCAATGTGTGATTGAAAAAAATGACAAATAAAACAAACGAGCCACTCACCCGCACAGCCATGTACAATTAATTAAAAATAAAAAAAATTCTGCAAAATGCCTTTATTTAAAATATCCATTTTGGAAAAGTTGTTCGAAAAGATATACATATATATATATATATATATAAAACTATTGCGAAAATTGCAAAATGGTACAGGACTTTTCGACTAGTTTAGTCCGCTCTACCTGCACACGAAATCTTTGTCGGTTGATCTAGGACACCCTATATAAAGGGTGTCAAATAAGTCACAGGACGGCTGAATACTTTCTCAAATAAGGTATTTTTGAAAAAGGTCAAGGTCATTTCTGAAGTAACTTTCAAGGAGGAATTCAACGATGACCTTCAATTTGACCTTGAGCTTGACCTTCAAGGTCATTTCAAGGTTAACTTTGTTTTTTTAAATAGAAACCTCCTTTTTTGACACCGGCAATCGAAAGAGCGGGAAATTTTACGTTCAGATTTGTACTTAAGTCACAGGTAGTGTTTGACTTTGATGGTCACTAATTTAAACTCGAGTAAGGTCTGGATATCTTTTGAAATAGAAGCTTTTCAATTTTTTTTGTAACGACCAAAACTAATAACTTTAACAAGACGTATTCATTTAGTAGGGGTGGCACCCAGTTGGACACGGCTCAATTGGACACGAGCCACTCACAGCGCTTGAGACTACAAAGCTCCTAAGCACCGGTCGCTGTGATTGGTAGTGTCTAATCGAGACGTGGTCAATCGGGATCACCCCATTTAGTAGTGACCTAGGGCATGACATTGAAGATGATCTTCAAGGTCATTTCAAGGTCAACTTTTTTTATTTACTTTTAGCATTACCCAGGAATAACGACGTGGACGAAAATCTATTTCCTTTGAGGTGCTTGATTAGTGTGAGTCCCCTCGCCTCTCACATTCGTGGTGCTTGATTAGCGTGAGTCCCCTCGCCTCTCATATTCGGGGTGCTTGATTAGTGTGAGTCCCCTCGGCTCTCACATTCGGGGTGCTTGATTAGCGTGTTTTCTTTCAAGATTCCCTCATGTTTTCTTTCAAGATTCGAAGTTCAGCGCAGATGTTCAAACTGCAAACCTTGAGCTTCTTGACAAAAAGCGTGTGTGTGCGTGCGTGTATGTGTATGGGAAGGAGAGAGTTAATCAATAACATTATTATTCATCAATAAATAGATTATTTGGATTCTGCTGCACTGGTCTTTGACCAGCATCTGTGTGTGACACACACACACACACACGCACGCACGCACGCACATACCAGAGAGGGTTTGGAGTCATTAAATACTACGGAAGTAAAAAATAGTCCTTACTTCTACTGACACAATTGCACGTATATTCGATCGAATCTAGACCTTTCAAGGCTTGTAGCGCGGAAACGGCTCACAGGATCATGATGAGCCTATTGAGACATGTTACGTCCTGAGTCGCGTGTTTTGTGTAATGCGATTTCGAGACGCGACATGGAATCGTGGGAGCGCGAGCGCGGAGCAGGACGCGCGGGGCGAAGCCTTAGCTTCGGGTGAGATTCGTTTTCCGGTATGTGTTTACGCGTTGAGGCAGGCTGCTGTCACTAGTGCCTTTGTTATAGGCACGAATTGAGTTATTATTTTGCTCGTGAGATATCTTTTATTATATCTAGCGTATGTTAAGCTTCCGTATTCCCTTTATTATGCACAGGAAGGAAATTAAAACAGAGAGGTAGAGGAATTGTCAGATAAAGCGCCCGTAGTACACGAAGGTGTACGAGGAATTGGTGAAGATATACAGATCTCTTTCCTGAGGGCAGCTGTGATACTTTCATCACACGC